CCCTTCAACCCTTCCACTCCTCCCTATTGACAAAGACTTTGTTTCCTTTTTATGGTTTGTTTGTACTGGGGATCAACTTGGGACCTTAAACTCACAAGGCACGTGATGGAACCACTGAGCTAAATCCCCAGCCCCTCCATTTTTTTCCTCATATATTTCCCCTTTCCCTTTTTTTCCCTCTCCCACTTCTTCCCCTTCCCCTTTGGACCTTTTCTTCCTATTTCACATTATCTATTATACACTTTTATCCTCATTTACACTTTCAGTTTCTCACAGCAGAGAAATTATTCGGTATTTACATATGTATCCTATTTATTTCACTTAAGGGTATGGCCTCAATGTGCATTCAGTTAGCTATAAATGTTCTAGTTTCTTACTCTTTATGGCTAAGTAGTACTCCACTTTAGTAAAATAAGCAAACAAACAAACAGATCTTCTTTATCCAGTCACCAGTTGATAGGCATTTGGGCTGTTTCCAAGATTTAGCTATTACAAACTGTGCTGCTATAAACATGGGTGCACATATATCGCTGTGATATGATTCTTTTGGGAAGATACCCAGCAGGGGAATAGCTGGACCAAATGGGACCACTAATCCTAGTTTTCTGAGGTATCTCCATACTGATTTCCACAGTGGTTGTACCAGTTTACACTCCCACCAACAGTAGAGAAGGGTTCCTTTTTCCATACAGCCCAGCCAGCATTTGTTATTGGTTGACTTCATGATAGCAACCATTCTTTCTGGAGTGAGGTAGAATCTCAGCATTTTCATTTGGATCTCTTGGATGACCAGTGATGCTGAACATTTTTTCCTTTTTTTTTAACATTTTTTTCATGCTTATTTGCTGTATCTACTTTTTCATCTGAGAAGTATCTATTCATTTCTGATGCCCAGTTTTGGACTGGTTCTTTAAATTTGGGAGGTCTGATTCATATTGTATACCTAAAATGTACCAATAAACTTAATGAATAAAATTTTTTTCTTAAAAAGAATTTATTCCAACTTAACACTCTGCAAGAAACATTGTATTAGAATTTATTACTCTTTAATCCCATATTTTACTGTTTAATATTTTTCTATTTTATGTATTTCTCCAAGGATGTAAACATAAATTATTGAAAGAAGTATAAATAGTTGCAACTTAAATGTTTAGGTTTATATTGCCAGTTCTGTATAAAGAACTTTATCCCAATCTAAATAAACCTATGAAGATTAAAAAAAGAAAGAAAGAAATACCCACCAGCTCTTCAGACAACTAGGAATCAATAAGAAAAACTGCTGGGTGTGGTGATCCCAATGATTTGAGGCTGAGGCAGGAGGATTGCAAGTGCCATTTAGTGATTTAGTGAGACCCTGTCTCAAAATAAAAAGGGATGGGGAATTCATTGCAAAGGCCCTGAGTTCAGTCCTTAGTGCTGAAAAAAAAAGTTTTTGGAAATCGTACAAATACATAGAAACTACACAACTAACATTTGAAGCACCAGAGGATCAAGGAAAAAATCAAGAAATTAAAAAATTTCCCCTTCCCCTTTGGACCTTTTCTTCCTGAGCGGCTGGGGATTTAGCTCAGTGGTTCTGCCCCCTGCCTTGCAAACGCAAGGTCCTGAGTTTGATTCCAGTACCAAGAATTAAAAAATAAATAAAAAATAAAAAATTTCTTGAAACAAGTGAAAATGGAGATACAATATACCAACCCCTATGGGACACAGCTAAAGCAATACTAAGAAGGAAGTTTACAGCAATCAATGTCTACATAAAAAAATGTTTTAAAATTTCAAATGTATCACTTCCTCTGAAGGTGCTGGAAAACAAGAACAAACCAAACTCAAGATTAGTAGCAGAAAGGGAATAATAAAAATAACGGGAGAAATAGATAAAATAGAGACTAAAACAATATAAAAGATCAAAACAAAAGGCTGGTTATTAAAAAAGATAAAATGACAAATCCTTAACTAGAACAAGAAGAGAAAAGTCTCTAATAAATAAAATAAGAGATGAAAAGAGATAAATTACAACTGACACTACAGAAATATAAAAGATCTTTAGAGATTATTATAAACAACTATAGGGCAACAAATTTGATAACTTGGAAAAATGGACAAATTTATAGACATATACACATCTTACCACGATTGAAGCCTGAAGAAATAGGAAATCTGAACAGACAGACCAATAACAAGTACTGAGATTGAATCAGTAATAAAAGGCTCTCATCAAAGAAAAGCCCAGGACCAGATGGCTTCACTGCTGAATTGTACCATACATTTAAAGAAGAATATCAATTGTCCTTAACTTATTCTAAAAAATAGAAGAGGAAGAAATTCTTCCAAAAACTTTCTTGGAGGTCAGTTTTACTGTGATACAAAAAACAAATTGCGAAACAATGAAAAAGGAAACTACAGACTAATATCTTTGATGAACATAGATGCAAAAATCCCCAACAAAATGCTAGCAAACTGAATGCAACAGCACATTGAAAAGATTACCACAGTCAAATGGGATTCATGCTTTGGATGTATAGAAATCAATGAACATGATACCCTATCAATAAAATGAAGGACAAAAATCATATTGGTCATCTTAATTATGACAGGAAAGGCATTTGATGAAACTAGATATCCCTTCTTAATAAAAGTGCTGGGCAAATTAGGTATAGAAGATACGTATCTCAACATAGTAAAGGCCATTTATAATAAAGCAACAGCTAAGATTATATATACTGAATGGGGAAAAACTGAAAGCTTTCTCTCTATGATCTGAAACAAGAAAAAGATGTCCACTTCCTCCACTGTTATTTAATATAGTCCTGGAAGTCTGAGGGTAATGAGCCAAAAGAAAGAAATACTGAAAATCATCAGAAGTGGGAGAGAAGTCAAATTGTCTCCTTTTGCAGATGACATGACCTTATACATACCCCCCCCAAATCCGGAGAGCTGCTAGAAATAATGAATGAATTTGGCAAAGTTTCAGGATACAAGTATCAACATACAAAAATAGTAGCATTGCCCTATGCCATTAACAATGTATCTGAAAGAGAAATGAAGAAAGCAATCCCATTGTGATAGTTACAAAAATTTGCCTAGGACAAATTCTCAAAAGCACAGGAAATGATAGCAAGAATAGATTAATTAGATAGATTATAGCAAACTAAGAATTTGCAAAGCACAGGAAACAACAGAATTCAGAGGTAATTTATACTATGGTGGAAAATATTTGCAAGCTATCTGACAAAGGGTTGATATCTAGAATATATAAGGAACACAATAGCAAAAACTCAGTAGCAAAAACCAAACAAACAAAAAAAATTAAAAATGGGCAATAGGCCGGGTGCAGTGGCACATACCTATAACCCCAGCTACTTGAGGGACAGAGGCAAGAGGATCACAAGTATGAGCCCAGCAGGGAAATTTAGTGACACCTTGTCTGAGAAATTTTAAAAAGGGGTGAAATGGGGATGCAAATCAGTGTGAAGACCCTGGATTCAATCCCTCACACTACAAAAACAAAGCAAAACAACACAACAACAAAAACCATGAGCAATAGATCTAAGTGAATAATACTTACAAAAAGACAAACAGATTGTCTTCAGATCCATGAAAAAATGCTGAACATCAACTGGGCACGGTGGCTCAAAATAAAAAAAGGGGTTGGGAATGTATCTCTGTGTGAAGGCCCTAGATTCAATCCCTAGCACTCCCCCAAGCACCCCAGAACAAAACAAAACAAAAAGCCTCACCATCACTAAATGTAAATGAAAATCACACTCATTATTAGAAAAATGTAAATGAAAACCACAATGAGAGCAACTCACCCCAATCAATATGGCCATTATCCAAAAGACTTATAGATATCAAGTTCTGGCAAAGAAGCAGCCAAAAAAGGATCCCTTGCATACTATTCGTGAAAATGGAAATTAATACAACCATTAATGGAAACCAGTATGGAGGTTGCTCAAACAATTAAAAATAGAAAGTATATGATCCAGCAATTTCACTACTGTGTATATGTGTGTGTGTGTGTGTATATATATATATTTCAAAGGACATGAAATTGGTATGTCAAGAGGCATCTGTACTCCTGTGTTTATAACAGCAGTATTCATAACAGCCACAAGCTGGGAATTTAGCTCAGTGGTTCTGCCACCTGCCTTGCAAGTGCAAGGACCCGAGTTCGATCCCCAGTACAAACAAAACAAAACAAAAAAACCACAAAAAAACAAAACCAAAAAACCCAAAACATAATAGTCACGAAATGGGAACGACTTAGTGCTGCGGTGGATAAAGAAAATGTGGTACAAATACACAACAGAATATTATACACAACAGAATATTATAATTTGGCCAAAAAAAAAAAAAGGAGAGAGAAAAATGAAATTCTATCATTCATGAGAACATGAATGGAGCTAGTACATTAAGTGAAATAAGTCAAGTACAGAAAGACAGGTACTGTTTGATCTCATGTGAAATCCAAAAACACCAATCTCACGGAAGTTGAGAGTAGAGCAGTGGCCACTAGAGGTTGGGAGAGCAGAGGTAGTGGTGGGAGATGGTGGTGGGAGAGAAAGGTTGATCAACAGATACTAATTTACAGTTAAATTGGAGTAAAACATTCTGGGGTGCTCTTTATCCAGTAGAATGACTACAGGTAACAGTAATGTACTGCATGTACATTTAAAAAAGCTAGCAGAAAGTATTTTACTTTATTTATTTATTTATTTTTGGTACCGGGGATCGAACTTGAGTCCTTGCGTTTGTGAGGCAGGCACCGGAACCACTGAGCTAAATCCTCGGCCCGATTTTGATGTTTTTATAATAAAAGGATAAATCTTTAAGGAACTAGAGAATGTTTAACCTGATGTAAACATTGTGCATCATAACATATCAAAACATTGCATGGTACCCCATTATATGTACAATTTTTATGTTTTTATGTATTAATCAAAAAATAAAAAAGGAAAATATAGGACATACAACCCATAATCTGAGAAATGAGCTCTCACCTTTACCTGTGAAACTGGCAAAACTCAGGCAGCAGGATAACACCAAGGATCACAGGAATACTCAGTGTGGATGTGGGGGTACAGACGTGCTGCTGGTGTTGCCATGGCAGTTGCTGAGGAGTGACCTGGCATTACCACTCAGTCATATTACGTACACAATGCTCCACGCAACAGCAATTCTGCTCCTGCCTCAGTGTCCTCCAAAGTTTTCACTTTGGCCATAAGTGGTCGTAGATGAAGATGTTCATTACTATGTTGTTTACCATGCAGGAAATTGGAGGCAATCTCAGCGGACATCACGGGGGAATGGAAAGGGCAAAGCACCTAGGCGCACACCTGGAGGATAACGCAACTGTGTAAAACAATGGAGCGGATGTATCACAGCAACAAGGAGAAATCTTAGCAGAGCGCTAAGGGAAAAGGACAAAAACAAAAGCACAAGCATGAGATGCACAGCAATACTAGTTACACATATTTAAAATCCAAGCGTTCAGCTCAACAATTCACATTTTCCAGGACATATACGAAAAAGTGAACATATATAAAATTCCTTAGAATGGCGGCTTATGAGAGGAATGACAATGGGAGACTAAAAAAAGAACAAAAATAAATTAAAGTAACAGAGGGGCTTTGGGCAGACCAGTGATGAAGGCTAACGTGCTGTAATCCTAGGAGTGAGATAAACTTAGTCTTTTGCATCTGAGGTCCAAATGAAACAGAAAGGATAAGGAGGCTCTCACTTCCCACAGGGAGCCTTCCATGATCAAGTGAGTGCTGCATGCTTTCTTTGGTCTTCCTACGGCTTGTTAGTCCTTAGGTACCTGTATTAATTGATACACTATATCCTGTGGCTACATTTTGCTTCCTTCGCTAGAGTATACATCATTCGAAAGCACTGACTTGGAATTATGTGTCTTTGTTAAGATCCACTCCAGCTCGCTGGTATTCTGCACATTCTGGACTCTGGAAGGACCAAGTCTAATGGGAAAGATGATTTGTATGCAGAGTGCTGTCTCAAACAGCGCTCCATCCTGGTCTGCTCAGCTGTATGGTGAGTCCCAAGACTTGGGTTCAAAGTCTATTTCCTATGCTTATTACCTGCGTGATTCTGGACAATTAATGATCTTCCTCTGTAAAATGGAGATAAATACAGGATGAGTATTACATGGGGGAAAGGAAAAGGGTGTTAAAGTTATGCTGCCTTCTGAGGAGGGCTTATGTTCCACGAGCCTTGGGTCCTTTCATGCAACTAACAGAAGACAGCAGAGATAGCCTTTCAAGCTCACTCATTCTTTGATAAATCTGCTTGGGCTAAGGTAGTGATGGAGAGCCTTTTAGAGACAAGTGCCCAAACTGCAACCCCAAACCCACTTATCTGGATTAAAGATCTAAATATTAAAACAGAAATGCTAAACTTGCTGGAAGATAAGTTAGGCAGAACTCTGGAAGACACTGGCATAGGAAAAGGCTTTATGAACAAATCCTCAGTAGCACGGGAACTAGCAGAAAGAATCAACAAGTGGGATCTCATCTTATTAAAAAGCTTCTGCACTGCAAAAGAAACCATCAACAGAACTAAGAGACAACCTACAATGTGGGAAAAACTTTTTACCAGCTGCTCCTCAGACAAAGGACTTTTATCTAGAATATATAAAGAACTCAAAACAACCAGCACCCCGCAAATATAAAGACCCAATTCAAAAATGGGCATCTGAAATGAACAGACATTTCTCAGACAAAGAAATAAAAGCAGCAAGCAAATATATGAAAAAATGTTCCACATCACTGGTCATTCAAGAGATGCAGATGAAAACAACACTGAGATTTCACCTCACCCCACAAAGAATGGCTGCTTTCAAGAAATCACACAATAACAAATGTTGGCACGGTTGTGGGGAGAAAGGAACCCTTCTCCATTGTTGGTGGGAGTGCAGACTGGTGCAACCACTATGGAAGTCAATATGGAGATACCTCAAAGAGCTGGGACTAGAGGTTCCATTTGACCCAGCCATCCCTCTGCTGCGTATCTTTCCAAAAGAATTAAAAGAATCATACCACAGTGATATATGTGCACCCATGTTTATAGCAGCACAGTTTGTAATAGCTAAAACTTGGAAACAGCCCATCTGCCCACCTGTTGGAAACTGGCTAAAGAAGATGTGGTTTTTCTATAAAATGGAATACTGTTCAGCCATAAAGAATGAGAAAGTAGATTCATTCATAGGTAAATGGGTACATTTTGAGGATATACTCCTAAGTGAAATACATAAGTCACACATGTGTAAATACCGAATAGTTTCTCTGTTGTGAAAAACTAAAATAGTACTCAAGATCCTAATGGGACAATTAGCAAAGTGAAATAGGAAGAAAAGGACCAAAGATGTAGGGACAGCAAGAAGGATAGGGAAAGGGGAATAAGGGAAAAGGAAAAAAATATGAGAAAGTGTAAAAATGGAATTAAAGTGTTTGAAGGTGGGGTGGGGGGGTGAAGGGAGGGCAGGGACAAGGGGAAAAAATGAGAACCAAGATCTGTCATGTAAAGGTACAAGATCACAGTAATGAATGTAACTGTGCTGTCTACCTAGAATGAACCAATAAATTCAATTTAAATTAAAAAACAAACAAACAACAAACAAAAAATCAAAACCCACTTATCACAAAGTGCCAACACTACAGTTAAATCTGAATACTGAGGTTTAGTTTAGGAAAAAAAAAACCTCATTAACATCTTTTATCTTAAAAGAAAAATAACCTGCATGCCGTAGGTTTGCCACCATTGGGCTGAGGTTTGGCATGGGCCTGGTAAGAGCTGAATCTTGCAGAATAAGAGAGTAAGGTGGATAGTCAGGATGTATACAGCAGGTGGATCAGAAAGGGCGGAACAAGGAAGAGAGAGGAGCCAGAAAACGTGCTGAAGCTGGGGCTTCGGTTGCATCTTCTGGCCAGTTAAACATCCTAGCAGTCAGTGCAAATTTTGAGTTCTCTTATTTAATTGTTAAATTTTTGTTGCTTCCTTAAATGTGAGTGATAGTTTCCTTATTTGTGGCAATCAAATGAAGAGGCTGAGCTCATATCTGGGTGTGTGTATCCATGCCCCGTGGATTGTACTCAGCAAAATCTAATTGTGGGGGCAGGAATTAAGAGCTACAGGAGACCAGAAAAATAGAGGTCCTTGAGGCAGTTTGGACTCCCTATGAACCTTGTAATGGGAACTCATGCAGGGCCTGTCTGAATCCCGCAGGATACATAACCCCGGGTCATGGTAGAGTTGTGCCTGAGGTAACGCATATGAAAACTGTCATTTCTCTTGCATTCTGTCCTTGACCACTGCTCAGATCAGAATATGTCCCTAAGGCTGCTGTTCATGACTTTGACTAATGTTCTGCCCCAAACCTTTATATCTTGCAGAAGCTATGTTACTCCCTTCCCTTATTCCTCATCTGCTAGCAATTGAGCACTAAAGAAAGTGCTTGGTCCTGAGCTCTGCCTGAGGAACTTGCAGATGAGGAGCCTTCAAGGAGCTCTTGGTGGGGGCATGAGGGGGTAAACAAAAGTGGGCATGGCCTGTCCTCAGGTTTCAAGATCTTAGATGGCCAGGCCACCAGAGGAAGGCCTTTGCAGGACTTTTGGGGTCTTTGCAGCTCCCATCAGACCACCATGGTGCTTAGGGCCCTCAGACTCCCAGTAGCAGGCATTTGTGTCAAGTTGATTCAGTGCTTGGAGCTATCCATAAATATTTGCTGCAGATAAATAACAAATCAGAGAGGCCCTGCTTCTCTCAGCCAACAGCCAGCACAGAGGATCTTGATGCCTGTGGCAGAGGCAAGGCCAAGCTTACCCCGTCCTTGATTCGGGTGACACAAAGACAGGTGTCTTAGGTGAAAAACTATGTTGATCCATGGGAAAAGAGCAGAATCAGGCAAGTGGGGCCCCCTGCTAGCCAAGGCTGGGCCTCTCAGGCTGGGCATGGGCAGGATTTTGTGCAGCTCCATAGCACATTGTCTTGTGACTGCCTTGCCCAGTGAATCTCTAGCCCCAGAACACAGTAAATGCTTCATCCATATTTGTCCCATGAAAAAACAGCTGAATAGCCCCGTGCAAAACTACTGAAAACTGTTTGTGGAGGTTCCCCTTGCCTCTGCCCTATACTGCCCACCTGTCCCTACTGCATAGCTCCCATGGGCACCTCAGGACCCACCTGTCCAACCTCACAGCCTTCTCTGACCCCTGCAGGCCTCTCTGAGCTCTCTTCCTGAGACCCCAGTTTTGTCTACAGTCTGTATGACAAAGTTGGGACTTAATTGTGCATCATTTTAGAGGTGTGTGGGCTATTGGGGGGTGGTTGAGTCAGGGTCTTGCTGTGTAGTCCAGGCTGGTCTTGAACTCATTATGTAGCAAAGGCTGGCCTTGAACCAGCGGCAATCTTTTTGCCTCAGCCTTCTGAATGCTGGAATTTCAGGCATGTGCTTCACACCTGTACCTGAAGCCAGTAAACTTGGAGAGGGCTCGGACTTTGGACTTGGCTTTGTTTCTCTTTGTTTTATAGCAGTGTTCATTGGCTTAGAGTTTTCCTATGCTTCATCTTGTCTGACCCTCAAGCATAACAATTTTTTATTTCTCTAATTTTATAAAAAAAAAAAACATGAAGTTCTGAAAGGCCAAGTGATTTGGTTAAGGTCACACAGCTATTTCAGGAAGACCTGGGGCAGCCTGCCCTTACTTTTCATGACCAATACAGTTTTTTTCTATGTAAGTAACCCAACTCTTCTAATTCCACATTTAGTGCTCTTTCAAAGCCTAAGTAAGCCTCACCATTTGACCTTAACTGCTAACCACTGCAGAAGGGGTGGGGCCACCACAGCCTGGTGTTGTGAAATTGGGGCTCACATTTCACCAGTATGTTGTAAAATGCCTCCAGCCTGGATTCCTCTCCATCTGTACTTGATGCCCGTCATTGTCTGAAGGGTGTTCTGAGATCCCTGGGCAGCAGAACTCCAGCCCATGACTGCTAAGCAGACTTGTTAGGAAAGGCAGAAGCATCTAGGGGTTTGTTTCTCCTCTTTGGCAAGATGTCAGGGGACTCGAAGAAATCCACAGAAGAGCACA